CTAGCGTTGTTTAGAAATAAGAAAAACAAAGGCTGGGCCCAGTGGCTCACACCTGTAATCCTAGCACTTTTAGAGGCCGAGGCGGGCAGATCACAAGGTCAGGAGATCGAGACCATTCTGGCTAACACAGTGAAACCCCGTCTTTACTAAAAACACAAAAAATTAGCCGGGCATGGTCGCGGGCGCCTGTAGTCCCAGCTACTTGGGAGGCTGAGGCAGGAGAATGATGTGAACCCAGGAGGCGGAGCTTGCAGTGGACCAAGATTGCGCCACTGCACTCCAGCCTGGGCGACAGAGAGAAACTCTGTTTCAAAAAAAAAAAACCAAAAAACAAAAAAACAAAAAAAAAACCAGAAATAAGAAAAATAATTTTTTTAACTCTATGATAGATCATGCAAAACCTGGAAAAGTCATCCACTACTTATTTCATTTTCTAAACACAAAAATAGAGAATTATTTTCTTAAATGATCTGATTTATACTTAAGAAAAAGCTCTCTTAGGAAAGTTAAAGGATTCTGTCATGAGGGTACAAATGTCAGTGCACAGTCAAATGTTAAGTAGTTTATTTCTTCTGTTCTAAAAACATAAGGCCTACAATGTTAGCTTATAATTTCTACTTACATCTTTCTTAAGATCAAATATAACTACCCTGGAAGTTTTGCTAATCACAATTTTTAAATCTGCAAGAAAATTTCTTCTTTGTGCAAAATTATTTTGTAGTTTTTATTTAGCTACAGTTTTATTTGCTTCCTCCAATAGAAATCCCAGGTGAGAAAAGATTTTTGAGATAATCTGATACCCTCCCCCTTGAATGACAGGAGGGCTATGGCCCACAAAGGGCTGGGTTATGCACAGCTGAGGACTATAACAGCCAAGCTAAAAACAACTCAGCCTTCAGTAGTTTATTATTTTGTATTCAAAAACTAGAAGAAGATTTCTTTACCACTAAACAGTAGTGTGCCTTAAGAGAAGTAGCTGAGTTAGTGCTTCAATATTGTTTCTTGACAGGATGCCCCAGTAATCCTTAGATGACGCTACAGTGAGGACCCAGCCTTGTGTGGCTGGCCTACGTCTGCAGAGTCTTAACAGCTATTTTCACAACTTGACCACAACTCAAAGAGTATAAGGTAGAGAACTCAAATATCTTAATGTAGCTATCCACTTGTAGGCAGTGATAGCACTACAGATCATTTTTAATTTCCAAAAGGATCACAGACTTTGAGAGCTTCGGTTTAAACGTAAAAAAAGTAGGTCTGGGGATTTTGGACTTTCCTTCTGAGGAAGAGTAGAAGAGATCCAATGGAACCCTTAAAGATACAGGTGCAGAGTGGAAAAATATTTAGGAAAAATGGAGGCCGTATTTGAATGACATTTTTAGGTCACCAGGATCTCCTTCAGCAGCCTTGATCTGCCAAACTGTAAGCTCCTTGAGGGCCAATGCGCTTTCTTACTTTTCTTTGTTTCCCTGGTGCCTACCAGAGTTCCCAGTATAGAGCTGGGACTTAGCAAATTATGTTAAAATGTGATGGTAAAAACAGATGGGAAGGCTGATCTCCAGAGACTAGAAGGAGTGGCTGTAACTAACACACAGTGAAATAGTAGCTTTGTCCTGACCCAGAAATGTCCCAGATATATACAGAGTTCTATGCTTATTTACACAACTTTAACAAAGAAATAATAGAAATAATAAATAATATTAAATTTCCCAAAGGCTCCAGGACTTTACATCTGAGAAAGAAAACAGTTTCCACATAGGCTCTTGGGTTTGTAAATAAGAAAATATTGTTGGAATGGAATGTAGTTGAGCGCAATCAAAATTCACTTTATGTTCTTCATATTTCTAAGGAAAAAAAGGTGAGGAAAAAACAAACCAAATAAAGGTAAAAACTCTCAAAAAGATTCCCCAGTTCTATATCTAGCAATAGGTCAAAACGGAGGCTACAAGAGTTTTTAGATTTCTTATGAGAAACTCTAGTAAGAAAAATACAATGACTCATTTCATAATAATGCCCTTTCTTCCCAAAGTACACATCACAGTTCCCACATCCCTAGCACATGGGCACTCTGTGCAGAGCTATTGCAACACAGAGGATCTCCCTGCACCAAAGTCCCTGAGTGGACAAGAGAAACGCCAACAGTGACAGCAGGGACAGACCTCCCTGGTGCTGCGGTGCTTAGGGGCAGCGTGGCTGCATTCGCTCTGCTTCGTAAAGGAGGGGGATTACTCCCTTTGTACTGCCTGATCTGGAACAGCAGTTCTTTTGTGCAACTACCTTTAAGAACTGGGGAGCTAAGTGCAGCTGGCTTCCTTGTCTACAGGTTGAAAGAATCCCTTGACAGAGTAGTTTTGAATAGACGCTCCCAGATTTCCTAACCAATTGTCACTTAGACATTGAGAATCCAAAAAAAAAAAAAAAAAAGATGAAGGAAAGGGAAAGTGTGCTCTCAAGGCTACAGCACGAGTAAGGCACCCAGGCTGTTGCTCAAGTACTAGTTCACTCCCCTGTCACTTCTGTGGCTGCAGAAGGGTGAGTTAAGTCAACAGTTATACAAAAACAACTGAAGTTTACTGCCAAGAAATCTCTCCAATATAGCTACTGCGGGCACCAATTTTCCCAGCCTTGCCCAGTCAGATGTTCTTGAGAATCGCTGTCAAGAGAAAATGACACGGCTCCTGCCCTTTGGTGAATATCCATGTAAAGTGATACAAGAATTCAAAGCTTGAAGGAAGTCCAGGGAACACTCACAGGAGCCTGACATCACTGGCTTTGGGCATTTGAAGTATAGAACGAGTGATAAGAATGCCTTCTCTCAGGCAGAAGGCAGTTCTGGAAGGGAAGGGCTGTTTATTGATCCTTAAATAGCTGAGACAGGCAGACTCTGTAGAGGTCAAATATCAATGAGAATTAAACTACAAGACACTTCTGGTGGAAGGATGGTGTAGTTGGCTTGATGGGCCATTTGTGGGAGAGGGACCTTTACTTGACCTGGGTCTTTTATTGCTTCTAGTAACAACAGGCCTGAGGAAGTGGTGGGCTGGAGGCCTGTGAGGAGGGGAGGTGGCAGAGGTGAGCAGGCTAGGCAGAGGGACACACAGAGCTTGTGCCCGGAGATGAAGCTGTTGAGTAGTGCCAGGCTGTAGCTGACATATGTGGCCGGGAAAATGCGTATGTGAAGAGACAGAGGTGGAGTAAATGAGCAACTGAAGAGACAGAAACTGACCACAACTAAAGACAATCACTCAAAACAAGGAACGAACCTCGTGATGGAAATGGCATTTTCCTCATAAGTTAACATGGTTAACTCTGGTCATGTTATTGCTGGTTATCAGAACATTTTAAAGATAAAGCAACTGAACTCAGTCATGTAAAAGGCTCAGACTGGTGAGATTTTCAGAATGAAAATTCTCAATGTTTAGGAAGTCCTCCAGATTACAGGATTTATATGACAGCCGCTATAGAAAACTTACATCTGTATAAATACCAAGGCCCCTAAGGGGGATAATATTTCATTTGTATTGAGATGTTTTAATCCCTCCTTAATAATTTAAGATGCTAAGTATTAATATTGCATATCAGATAGAAGATCTAATTTCTCCTGTATTTCACTTGAAAGTAATAATACTTTCTGGAACAGTTAATTGTTGTTTTCTTAAACCATAGATCAATTTCTTCCTTGCTCTGAATCAGTTAAGCTATATTATAGTTTAGATGTATGCCCATGGCACTGCCACTTTAGTATTTATTAGTTTACGAAGACAACTCAACATCCTGGACATATTTCAAAGGACAAACTTACTGCTTTTCACCAAATTTGCCTCATTCATTTAATGTGTATTCTTAAGAGTTTGACTGACGGATGAAGAAGAGGAGATATGAACCACACTGGCTGTTGCGAAGCGTTCCTCTGCACCAAACACAGACATTTAAATTTAAATACAGGTTCTCTGCTCTTTACTTTTCCTGGGTCTCTACTCACCCTTGTAGCCTCTGAAACACTCTTCTTATGTATTTATTTAAGATGAGATAAGAAGCTGGTTTTAGATGATGTGGGCCAAATTTCAGATTTCATATGGATTAAAAAATAATAAACATCAAGGGTAATCTAATATTCCCATAAATTATTTTAGAAGCATAATAATCATGTCATTCTTCATGGCCCGGTTAATGTCTGCTGGTTTTTTTTTTCTCTTTGTTAAAGATTCAAGTCATATGTCCCTGTTCGTTAAAGATTCAAGTCATACGTCCAAAAATACGGGAAAAAAACTCTGTGTAGAAGTCAGGCAGACTGGACCGTGGCTGCAGCAAACACACACATGCAACAAGGAGATTCTCAAGTGTACATGCTCAGTTTAAAAGACAAAGCAGTCAGCTGCAATTCTGAGTCAGTTTTCTTTATCTATTTGAAGAGACAACTCCAATAAAACAGAAACAGGCCCTGTTGGAGCTCAAGACTTAGCATGAGAAAAGGGAGACAGAGAAGGAGACAGACAGAGAGAGAGAGAGAGAGAGAAAGAGAGAGAGAGAGAGAGAGAAAGAGAAAATGAACCCTATCAGCTGTGAAATAATACACTGGGGAAAAGTACTGGTTCTCATGAAAATGTCGGTGAATCACCATGGAATAAAATTTAAAAGCCACTGACCCCAATGAAAGCCTCCAGTGGAAACATGTGGATTTCGCTTCATTTCACGTAAAGACTTTTCTTTATTTCATTTAAACACTATCATAAGCACCATCACAGCTTTTGTGATGTGCTGCTTTCTCATTTACAATTGATATGGAAAAGGTACTGCTGATTAAAATGGTCTTCAGGAAAAGAAGAACAATGCACAAATTAGTTGATATAACCATGTAAAACAGGTAGCGCTCTTCTTGTTCCCTTAAAACATGCGTTGAGTGCTCATCAGCTGAACGACAACAGCAGACAATTCTTTTTTTCTATTTTTTGCAGTAACTCAGCATTTAAGCAGACTTATTTGTAGAATTTTTTCATACTCACCAAATCTTCATTCTGATTTGCTAAAAGATCACGACTGAATGCAAGCTGACTGACACAAACCACAAATCTGTCAGGGAATACATGGAGTTCTGTATAAAATGAAGAAAAACGAGTTTAAAGGCGTCAAAACACTCTAAACACAGAATGGTTGTCCCAGATTTTTGTTCATTTTAAGTTACTGCAATACGCAGTAACAACAGAAAACACGCGTCTCCCCTCTCCTCCCATCCTTTCAGCGTTTGCTAGCAATAGGGCAGGGTGAGCGCAAAGCTCTAGGGAGAGCTGACCAGGCTGCAAATGGGTCCACCTGCGCCCTGGGACCATTACATTGCAGGAAACCCCCAGGCAGAACCTCTGCAGCCTCCCCTCTGTGTCAGTTGGCTGTTTGCTGATTAGAACTCCTATTTGGAAAATAGGATCAATGTTTTCAAAATGAGCAGGTAAGACTTATAGAGGAAGAGGAATATTAGATAAAATCTAAAAATGTGACCTATCAATGTTTTTCCTAGTTACTTTACTTATCATCTCCTTGGTCAGCTAGTCTTAGAGAGGTCCCTGACCCTGGAGGGCAAACTACTAATCTGAATCAGGCTGGGAAAACAGCAGCTTCTCTTAGGAATTAATGAACCAACTATTAAGAAAATGGATAAATATATAATAAAGATGGTAAAATTACACCATATTCATAGTAATCTATTATTGCTGCTTCTTAAAACAAAACCACAACTTCCCATTGGGAAAGACTGAATGAATCACTGAACTGGACTCCTCGGCATTCAATGAAAGGAACGCAAGGTAGTAATGACATCCGGATCTTTCCTTCTCTCATCTGTCTGTCCATCCATCCATTTGTTCACCAGCCTCCAGCTACCCAGGCGTGACGTCTGGAGTGATGCTGAGCTGATGCCAACAGTGTATGTTCCAGGTGGGTGGGGAGGGGCTCTTCTCCCTTTTTCATACTTGGTTGTACTGCTTGAATATTTTTATGATACACATGTCTGATACTTGTGATAGAAATCAAGTCATTTTTCTAACAAAGAAAGCTTCCCTCTTACATGAGACCAATTTTTTTAAAAGATGGATATTATGAATCAGGTGAGTAAAGCCTTTTAGGTACATTGCACATGATGGCAATGACTGTTTGAGGTAATAACGTTATCTCAATTTGATATACCGCTTAGAAGCCAAGCAAGAAGGTGTCAATTGCATGGACACAGAATTTAAACAAGTTACACCTTATACTACTAGACTAGCTTAAATGATCCCAAAAGGCCTAAGGAGTTGTTGTTCCAGTAGCAGCTCTCTCCTTATCCTGTCAACCACTGCTGTCTCCTTGGCAGTCACCCTCCTTATTCCAAGTTATCCTATTCAGAACAGCAGGTTAACAGTTCTAAAAAAAGAGCTCCACTCATCCTGCTCCAAAACCTACCATGGCTCCCCAGTGCCCAACATTCAAAGCCCTCCATGATTAGGGATTAACCTGTTGTTCTGGTCTCACTCCCAATTAGTCCTCCTCATGAGGAAAGCCCCCATTTCAGGTGGGGGCCTGGGTGTTTTTAAACTTTGATCCCATGTGGGTATGATATCTGGCTAGGTAACTAGAGATGGACTTTGAAACGCCAGAACAAAATTAGCAAAGCAGTTAATATTTATTCATTAGTTCTTAAAAGATCTTATTGAGATAAATGGTAAATAGCCTTTTTATCATTTTATGGGAGGGGAAAATGAGCCACAGAATTCATTATTTGTCCACCTTCCCCCCACAAAAAAAATCATAAAATTGAAATACAACAGTTTATTAGTGGATCAGAACTGGAATTCAAAATTATCAGTTCTATCAAATAATTCCTTTGTATTTGCATTTCTTCCTCTGAAAAGTAACAATGTTAGAAGGGCAGATTTTAAACATTTTGGTGCCAGGTATTAACAGAAAGCAACTTCTGCACCCTTTTGTTCTGTTTAGGTCATTATTGAGAGTTGCATTATTTTAATATTTAATTAAATATTTAGGCAATGATAGTCCTTATCATAAAGGGTACAGATACAAGGTTAGCTGACTTATTTTACGAGAGAGTTGAACAAAGTGGAAGGCCTGTTAAGAAAGCAATATATCTGAGGCTGGGTATGTTGGCTCATGCCTGTAATCCCAGCACTTTGGGAGGCCAAGGTGGGAATACAGCTTGACCCCAGGAATTTGAGATCAGCTTCAACATAGTAAGACCCCTTCTCTACCAAAAATTAAAAAAAAAAAAAAAGAGAGAGAGAGAAAAAAATTAGCCAGGCATGGTGGCACACACCTGTGGTCCCAGCTACTTAGGAGGCTAAGGTGGAAGGATCACTTGAGCCTAGGAGGCTGAGGCTGCAGTGAGCCATGACTGCACCACGGCACTCCAGCCTGAGTGACAGAGTGAGACCTTGTCTCGAAAACAAACAATAGCAAAAAAGAGAGTAATATATTGGAGCAGAGTTTATAGTTAAGAAAATGCAGATAATCATGAAGATTCCACAGCAAACCTCTACACAGTTAATTTTTTAAAGTTCCTATTTCATGTCTTTTATATATATATACTGAAATCGTCCATGGAAGGTGACCTACATTTTCTTTCCAGTGCTCAGATCAACCTGGAGAAAGATCATTAGCTTCTGACTTTACTGTTGCTGGCTGGACAAGTTTGAAATCATATCCTTAGGGGACATCTAGACTTGGGGAAGTGACGTGGGAAAGTGGCCTCATCACACACCTAGGGAAAGCTCTGAGAGCTCTGGGCTGGGAAAGAGCTTTCTTGTGTACACACCTGCTCCATATGCCAGGGCCTTGGTGTACACAGACAATACTGAAGTGATTCATAGTTCAACTGTGTTGAGTCACTCTGAAAACTCAAAGAAAGTGCTGAGATGCATCAGGAAAGGAAAGCATGATGTGGCCCGGCTCAGTGTTCTCAGAGAGGCAGTAAACACAGTACAAGCTGGGAGGAAAGAAATCACAAACTTTTGGACACACTCAAGGACATGAAGGCAATGAAACAAGCAGGACTCTCCATTCCTTAATTTTCATCCCTTCTCTATCTAGGGCAAGCAGATAGTGTGAAATGTCTGATAAACCAAGAAATCGGCTTCTTACCAGCATTCTGTGAGCTCCTGATGCAGCGAAGACGTATCCCTCTCTTGAGAAAATAGGCTGTGATTTGAAAGCCATAACCTGTAAAGTGAAAGGGAATATCACACTAAGTTAAAAGTTTGTTTGCCACTAAATCTCAGGTTCGGCCCGGTGCCTGCCATATAAGATGCATTCAGTAATTATTTAGTAAATGAGGCTGCGCACGGTGACTCACGCCTGTAATCCCAACACTTTGGAAGGCCAAGACAGGCGGATCACTTGAGGTCAGAAGTTCGAGACCAGCCTGGCCACCACGGTGAAGCCTTGTCTCTATTAAAAATACAAAAACTAGCCGGGTGAGGTGGCGGGCACCTGTAATCCCAGCTACTCAGGAGGCTAAGGCAGAAGAATTGTTTGAACCTGGGAAGTGGAGGTTGTAGTGAGCTAAGATCACTGCACTCTAGCCTGGGTGACAGAGTGAGACTCTATCTAAAATAATAATAATTAGTAAACAAAAGAATAAAGGAATTAACAGAGGGCTTCTCTTGAGAGGTAAGGGTGAACATTACTATCTTGCCTCTTCCAGGAGGCCTGACTATGACGCCTGGCATAGTCCCTACTCCCTGAAGTGTCTCAGCTACTTCAACTGTAAAATGAAATAAATGAAGAGGTCTAATGTGCCTGAAAATTAGAACTTTCAGATGGGATAATTCAGTTGGAGCTTGCAAATAGATCTTAGCCACCTTCTGATACTCACTGCTTATTAGCTCATAAAAAGAAGCAGTTCATACCTATTTGAGCATGGATGTATTTTGCCTATAAATAAATTAATTCAAGTATGTCAAAATCTTTATATAGAATGAGATGAAAAGAAATGTGACATGAGTAAAAAACTAATTTCTCCAACTCACCAGAGTGGCCTAAGTGAAAGAGACAGAGCATTAAGTGTTGGCAAGAATGTAGGACAACTGGAATTCTCATACACTGCTGGCAGGAATACAAATTGGTACAGCCACTTTGAAAAAAATGCTTGAGTATCTAAAGCTGAACTTAGGTATGAAGATACAGTGTTCACAATAGCACTCTTCACAACAGTCTCAACCTGGAACCAATGCAAATATCCATCAACAGTAAATTTTTTAATGGGGATACAGTCACACACTGAAATACTATATTGTCTCTAAAAATGAATGAGCTACAGTTACAGGTAATAACAGAAATACATCTCACAAACATAATGTTACATGAAAGAAGCCTGACCCGGAAGAGTAAATGCCATGTGTGAAAATGGAGACATTATCATTCATGTTACAGGGTGGCAACAGATTTTCAGATGGGTCACAGAAAGTGCCAGCTTAATTTCTTCCTCCCTCCCTTCCTCCTCTCTTCTGGCTTCCCTCCAGGTATAAACTACTTTATTGATGATTTTCCTAAAATCATAGTAAAACTGTTCCTGGTTATCGCAGTCAGCAGTCAAGTTATTTGGTAGAAGAATCAGAAGCAAAAGGTCCACCAGAGCAGGGTGAGGGTACTCCTGTGTCAAACTGGAGCGGCCAAGAGTTGCAGGAAGTAATCTCTAGGACTGTCAGATTCTCCAAAGTCCATGACTATGGTTGTTCTGCAATACCTTAGGTAAAGAATACAATTAAAGAAGTTTCCACTTTCATATTCAGTATCCTACTGACACTCCTGTAGAAAGACCCAGGACATCAGTGACCCCAGACTTGATGCTGTCTAAACAAGCGATGGTTCTGACAGAACAATTGCTTTAGTCATGCAGATTGTGCAATAACAGTGACATCTATGAAAGGATAATCTCCGGATTTACTGAGATAAAATATATTTTTTCCTAACACACTTGAAAATAGATTGCATTTCAGTCATGTGGCTTTCTTCTGCTTAAAATGTCAAACAAAATATACACACCACTGACATTACTCTGAGTGCTTTAAAACAAATATGTTATTTCTTAGGTCACTGAGAGAATGGAAGTCATTCCTACATCTGTTTATTTGTCCAACTGCTGAGGGAAGAAGTGGAATCCTTAACAATTTGCGACTCACAAACACATATAGCAAAATTTAAAAGTGTTTTTCAAGTATTAATTTATAATGCAAGTCTTCCAAAGAACTGAGAAAAAAATATATAATATCTAAGTTATTCTACCTTTGCTGATCTATAGGTCTAAGCGATTAAGATTCAGGAGGCATGTTCAAAATTTCAAAAATATTCTTCCTATACAAAATCTTTAGCAATAAAATGTTATTATCGGTCCCAGTGTGGTGCTCATGCCTGTAATCTCAGTACTTTGAGGGCCCACAGTGGGAGGATTGCTTGAGGCCATGAGCTCGAGACCAGCCTTTGAAACATACTGAGACCCCACCTCCATTCAAAAAATACAAAAAAACATTAGCTGGGCATGGTGGTACATGTCTGTAGTCCCAGCTACTCAGGGGGCTGAGGCAGGAGGATTGCTTGAGTTTAGAACTTCAAGGCTGCAGTGAGCTATGATCACCACTGTACTCCAGCCTGGGCGACAAAGCAAGATCCTATCTTAAAAAAAAAAAAAAAAAAAAAAAATTATCAGGAAGGGGCTACATCTGAAGTTGACCATGAAAGCTACAGTTTTGAGTCCAGGAAGCCTGGTATCTGAAGATACTATTTGAGTGATAACTAAATCCTATTTGGACTGCTGAACAATCAAGTCTCAGTATGACACTTTCCCCTATAGAAAAAGAAAGCAGTAAAAGGCAGATTTCAAGTGATTTGTTACGGAAATTAGTAGGAGAAATTAGTTTATTGAAACCTTGACCCCTACACCTCCCACTCCTAGGACAGAACTAGGTTAAAAGGAATCATTTCTAAATGGCATATTGTTATTAGTGGTTTCAGTGGAAAACCTGCTCAAATGGCACCTACAAGAGAAATGGCAAGTTTAACATGTAAAAAAGATTTGCACCTGCTTAGTCCAAATTCCACTGGTCATATGAAACTTTATTGTTTAATGAGAAACTTAAGGAGAGATTAAACACAAAAGGTACTATGTCAGTTCTTATGGCAAACTAAATTTGATATACAAACAGAGAAAAGTATTGGTGCTTGAAACATACTGAACTGAAATGCTTAGGAAGATGTATTCCATTTATTTATAGATAACAGGCAATGATAAAGACTACATTCTTATCTTTGCTCTTAATGAAATCGCCTTCACAGAGTTCAGGAAGCCACTGAGATTTTGTACTTACCCAGGGCTAAAGCAAAGTTCCACTACTCTCTAAAGCTAAACAGCAATTTGGCAAAGAATCCAAGAGGCCTTTTGCTTTTCCTACTTGGGGCACCAGCTCCCAGCTTGTTATGCTGGCATTTTAAATGCAGAAAACTTGTCAGTAGAGCAAATGGAAATCATAAAGTGATCATCTTCTCCTTTGAAAACTACTGGATGACCGTATTAAGAGTATAAGGCACTTGCAAATCACATTTCAGTATGCCTGTTTTCTTGCTGGCGATTGTGGTCCTCCTAAATCTGAGAAGGCTGTCTTTAGACACAGGAAGAGACCTGGGTTAGAGGGAGAGAAAGCTTTGCAATAGAAACATCTTACCACCAGGCGTCTGTGGATATGTGCATTTCCAGAAACAATTGTTATTTTTATTTTTGAATTGCTTAATGTAACACAATCATCTAGTTTCAGCAAGATCCCATCTTCTCCCCTGGCCCCCAAGCAGCCCCAAAAGTCTCCAGTTCTTGTGCCACCATTTGCTTTCTGTATGTCGTAAAAAGCTGTTGTACTTCTCCCTATCCTTCTACAAACAACCTCCAAAGCGGCAATGAAGCCTCAAATGATTACTTTTTACCACACTAACTTTCTTCTGGCTTACCTAAGTTGTTCATCAAAAACTATTAAGTCTCTTTAAAAAAAAAATGGGGAGGTGATCAGTAATGCTTATGAAAGAAAGAAAGGACAAATGAGTCCTGCTACTATTTTATTTCATATTCTGTCTAAAATAAGCTGCTCCAAAATGGCTGTACTAGAAATTTGCAGTCTTCATAAACAGAAAGGCAAAAATTACGACAAAAAAACTCAAATATGAGTTGAACAAATTCCATCCTGGCTTAGCAAGGCAGTAGATTAGTTTCAAGTAGTACTGTGCTCCAATGAGTAATGGTTTTAAGGGAGGGGTCATTTATTTGGGTTGTTACAGTTCACAGTCCCAAGACACTGAGAGCAAATATTCAATGAGAGATTTTTACTGTAAAACTATCCAGCCTCACTTGTTTTCCAGGGGATTCATAGCCAAGGCGACTTGAGCTTCCCCACAGCTGCCAAGGGGAGTCTGTGGTCTGGTGCGTAACAGTGGGAAGCCCTCTCCCACAGCTATTACGAGACCATTCATGGAGGAGCCTGGGAAAATGCCTCTATGTGGCTTGGTGAGCCATCAGGACCTCCGGGCAGGTGAACTCTACTTCACTGTGGACCCCACCCACCACCTGTGTGGCTCTCTTCCAGCAAAGCCTCCTCCCAAACTACAAAGCAGGTTCAGGAAGACCTACGATGCCCCTCAGTACTTCTCTCCCTGAGATGACTCCTTCATTATTAACACCACTTAGATAATCTGAAACATTTCAAACATTCAGGAAACTAGAAAAAGGTCAGGAACATCCCAAAACCCACCATCTAGATTCAATAATAGTTAATATTTTGCCTTATTTCATATACATATTTTATAAACTCTTTCAAAGTAGACATCATGAAACCTTACTCCTAAACATGTGAGCATAGCTCTTGAGCAACAAGGAAATCTTCCTTCATCACCACGACACTATTATTACAACTGAGTATGACATTATCGATCAAATAACCATCTATATTCAAATTTCTCCATTGTCCCAAAATGTGTATCACTGATCTGATTTTCCTTTGAATCGGATCCAACCAAAGATCATGGATTTTAAGAGATGTATTTGCTTACATCTTCTTTAATCTAAAATAATCTCCCTTTACCTTTTAAAAAAAGAACTCTGAACTTTGGAAGAGGATCAGGCTAGTTGTGTTATAGAACAAACCCACTGTACATTTGAATTTTTTTTTTTGAGACAGGGTCTT